TCATCTATGATAATCATATTTACTTTATTAGTAGGAAACAAACTGTCATCATCAAAAGCATCAGGCAGCCCCTCCACAAAATTGATAAAGGGATATTTACAAAGCAGTTCTTTATACAGAGGTTGCCAACAACTGTAACACCACACGATATTCTCAGGCATAACAGACAGTGTGTGTTTAGCATTATCCAACACGTTTTTTATAAAGTAACTTTTCCCGCAGTTGCTAGGCCCCGTGAGAATTGCAGGAAAGGGGTGTTTCCACCTCGTATCCATTTTTTTCAAAAGCCGTAGGGCAGGGTTTTAAAACCTTCTCCTAGGACCCTCTTGTTGTAAACCACTTTCTGTCTTTAAGGGTTTTTGTCTCTATTTGCCACTGTTTTTTGTTTCTTACGATAGAGGGCTGCTGCACCTCTATCTTTTTTGAGGTGTTTTCTTGCAGATCTGTGCAATAGTCCAGGACTAGATCTTTCAAACTGTCGAAGTTGATCTTTTCACAGTTTGCTATGTTTAGGGTAATACCTTTGACTTTCATACAGGCCTTTCCACCCAACAGCTTATACCCATAGGTTTTCGGGCCTGCCGACACAAACTCTGTGATGTGTTGATCTGGTGGGATTTCGCTCATGAGGTCCCTGAAATAATCCCCCAGAGGGGGATTCCAGTCACCCTCCCTTTTCACAAATATCACCGAGTCAGTGTCGTGGTACAGGCACTGCTCTTGCCAACCGTCTAGGAGGCTGTATAATTCTAAGCGGGCATAAGCAGTGGTGAAAGAGGCTATGAAAACATTGGTATTGCCAGAGACAGAGTACTGTTCTTTTGCGTGCTTCCACAACATGCACACTGTTTCATCATTGATAGACTCGCAGGATGAAACCTCATAATTGGGGGAGAACAGGTACTGCAAGAGTTAGTCAGGGTCTCTCATGATGCTGGTGTTGGGTAGGTTGGATCTTTGGCTGAATTTACCCCACAGAGAATTTAAAAACAGTTTAGTGATTTGGCATTTAGCAGGGTTTGATCTGAGCTCGTGTTGGTGTAAATGCATGCCTTCTTTCTGGTAGAAATCGCTAACGTACTTATTTTGTTTTTCCTCGTCTGTGCACCAACTGGGATACCCTGAAGCCTCTTGTTTCTGGTGGAGGTGTAATTTTATGTACTCTGAAAAGAGTTTCAGATTTTTCATTAAAACGCCAGATTTCATAGATCTTAGCCACCGTGTACCCCTTCGCTATGGCCATGTTCAATTCCACCGTGCACCAAGTCCCCAGGATGGCTCGCTCCTTGTCAGTATGGGTGCATGTCTCCCGCTGCTCTGTTTCCGCACAGGTTTGGCATAGCGAGAACATAAGCTTGCCACCCACTCTGACAGGTAACAATAGGAAAAAAGAGGCCTCGTGGGGGGTACACTTTAACTTTTGCAATTCCAGAATAATTTGCAAGGGGTCCAAATTTGTCATAGACTATATCGGGGTGTCCGATAGGGTATTCTTTGGTTTTGTTTACGAAAGGGTACAGGCTGGTAAAATCATAAGTGGATTTCTTCCCCGGGGTTAGGCTTGTAATATAGGCGGATAGCTTTAGTCCTCCCCCCCCAAAAAAGAGCATCCCTAAGCACGAGAGGCTGGGGTAACTGGGCTTGGTTTAAAAAGTCTGCAAGCTCCCTGTCTGTTTCTTTCATCACCTCCCACTTGTGCTCCCAAAGAGTCCTCACTACAAAACCAAACAGGTGACACAGCCATGGAAAAAACACCCGTTAAACTCAAAGGCTGTGCATACCCTATCAACATCAGCATAGCCATCTAAAAAGTAGGGGCCTACTTATAGTTCCCCACCCTGTAAAGTGTGCCGTATTTGTATATTTTCTTTGTGAGAGATATACAACAGCCACTGAATAGCTGGGGTCGAATATCTTTTTCTGCCTGTGATAGTTGTCTGGAAGGAGAAGAGCTACCGTGTTAGGCTCCAAAAACATAAACCTATACATTAGCATCTGTCTGCATGGCTATGTTATGTACTGGAATAGATCTATACACAGTTTTATCTCAGTGAATTTACCAGGTTCTTTCTCTACTACATCTCCCTTCTCCGTCATTTTCAGAATCTCTTTTCTGTATAGGATACAGACCTGTCTCAATTTTTACATCCTGCTGACAGTAATACGCGAGCTCTTTCTGCAAGTCAAATGCCTCAGAGCTGTGGTCCCGATACCAGTCGAGAAACTCTTTCTCTGGGCATCATGCTTTCTACACCATAGTGCTCCATACCGGGCATAGGCCCCACGTAATTTTGATTTTCTAACATGTTAAAAAAAGTGTGGAAAATACCCTTTGCACCCTTCAAACCATTGCCTGCGGTAGCTTGCTAAGCTTCATGGGCAAGAAGTTTAAAGAGTCTATAAAACGAATGCGCAGGGCCTTAACTTCCACGCACATTAGTTTACTACCTTGAGTGATCAGTTCTAGGCCCATCTTTTCCTTGAGTAACTGTCTAACAATGAAGTACGCATCATAACCTTTAGAATTGTGTGCTAGGAACATGTAGTCCTGAAACTCTTTGCCAGTAAAAGTTCTTCACAAACACAGAAAGACTCATCGCCCTTAAATTCCCAGGATTTTTCTGGCTTTAGGGACATAGCAAAAATGTAATTGGGAGTGTGCAACCCGGTCTCCTGCGTGCATTCGAAATCATAAAAAAATATATATATATACTTTTCTGAAGATTCGGGCTTTCTAAGGCTGTCCATAAAACAGAGGTGACTGTCTACATCACCAACGATCAAACCCTGACACTGCTTACACCGTCTCCCTTTACACTTATGCCGCTCGTCCACGTAAGACTGACACTTCTCACACAAAGTTTTAGACAGGCATTCAACTTGGTTTTTTGATGCACAGTCGATATGTCTGTCGAAACACTCTTTGGACCGACAATACAGTCTACAGCTAGGACACTGCTGCTGCACGCCCACGCTGTCTGAGCATGTTACGCTCAAGCAGAGGTGGCAACGATACCTGCAAGAGTGGTCGTGGCTGTACACAGTGTGGCAAAACTCACAATTTTTCACTCTGAACAACTTTTTTACATCCAAAACTCCATAGTAATGCTCATCATGCAACAAGATAAAATAAGTCTTGGGGTACACTGTGCCCCCCGTTTTAAAAAAGCCCCAGCTGCCTTTCGTCATATACATACACCTGTACATTAACTCCTAAATGCTGTTCAAACTTTGCTACGTCACTGAGCATAACTTTTTTTTTATCTGACCACCTCAGTTTCTCATGTAACTTTCTCGCCTCTGCTAACAATTCCGCGTCCGTAGGTTTATGATCGGACATGACGGCCAAGAGCCCACCCGCAAAACACAAATTGGTACCAGTGTAAGTCAGGTCTACTAAACACTGTCTCTTTTTATGACTAATTTGACTATTAAGGATAGAATTTAAAACTCTACGAGCGTCCCCACCTGTTTTTTCACAACTGTCACAATGAGGCGCTATGTCCCATCGACATGCAACTCTTTATTGCTCTGTAGCAGTTTTGAGGTCTGATTTAAGAAATCTTCAGCAGACAGCTCATCCCTAGTTCTTTTGACCGAAAACAAAGAGTTAGTTAAATTACGGCTCTCTAAACGTAACTGAACATAATCATCAGGGCCTACCCTACCATTAATGTCATCGAGCACTAACTATATTCCCCGATGTATGGCTTCAGCAACCTGCTGAGCTGAATTTATTTGCTCAAGATTGACAAAACAAAATTCCTCACAATACACCGACCCCCCAAATCTGGATAATTCATGTTGCCAACTTCTCACTCTCTCCATATACACCTCGACATTTTCGGGGTTACTTGGGGGTTCCTCTACGGGATCATGAGCAGTATCTTCTACATCAGATGCTATTTGAGAGTCAGACTCTGAGGCGCCTCCATGAGGGTCATTGGGAGTAGAACGGGACCCGTCTAGAGAGCCCTCTGGGGAATTTGCTAAACCAGAGTCTGATTCCGCCTCCCCATCTCTTGGTTTGTTCCCCCCCCCCCCCATTACCTCTTTAGCCCTTTTTAAAATTTTTACAACAACCTGGGCCTGGAACTTTTTGGCAGCCATCTGTTTATCCCCCAAGCGCTGTCCCCCCTTTTGTTTACACA